TACATTATCATAGACCCTTTAAATGCCCGCAGTAGGAATGCCTGTGGTGTTTCTTTTGCCTCTTGCGTGAGCTGAGATAGTTGCTTAAACAATTCTGTGGCATCCCGTTCCTGATAGTGTGAACGGATGATCTGTCGCAGGTCTGGGAGGGGAATCTTGCTCCTTCCCTCCAGGTAACTGCGGAGCTCAGACCCTGGGACAATGGCCCGGATGACGGCGTGTACGATGTCCCTGTCTGAGTAGCCTTTCTCTCTTCCTGTCTCGATTTGGTTTTCCAGGCTCGCAAAGGTAAGGCGGTCATTTTGGCCAGGCTCACCAATCTGACCGGAAATCTTGAACTCCCTCCAGATCAAATTCATAACGTCGGCATTCGCAACAGGCTTTTGGGGCAGGGAAGGCAGCTTTTCCTCCGGTGTGGTGGTTTCTACCTCGGTGGGCTCCTTTCTTGATTGCTTAGATGACGAGGCAGTAGGGGCTGCTGTAGACGGCTCCGATGGTGCAATCTCATCAACAAACTTCTGCAGCATCTCTACAATTTCCTGACCACCATCGTCACGGTCCTGGATGTCATCACTGTTCAGGTAGCTGATTACCTTTCGGGCCAACCGAAGGCGACCGTTTGTCTGCGCTGCCGCATCTCCCACCTCCATCTCTAGTCGCTGACACACCAGAAGGAGCTGTTCAACGGAGAGGTTACCAAGCTGAGTGGTCAGCTGTCCAATGGTTTCCAGCAGGGTTTCCATCTTGGAAGGCCGAATACCAATGACAGATTGACGACGTCACTAGAACTGCAGTGTCACACTCGTGGACGCAAGGCAATCCCAATGTGGCGATCCCTCTGCTCCCTCCAACACTGCACATACAGTCGACTCGTTTCCGTCAGCTATTGGCGTCCCTCTTGGTTAGCGCCCCGTCACCATGCTGTAGCCGACACAGTAGTCAGGATTCCTTTTTTTCTGGATAGACGCATATCGTCCAGTCCAACTGAGAGAGCAAAACGGACACGTCTATCCCTCTCGTGCCTCCAAATGTTGCACCCGTGCGGCTGTCCGACTAACAACCAACACAGGGCACATTAAAATGTGTTCATGTTCGATGACCCTGAAAGAAGAATGAGGGCTTCAGTCAGCATAAGATACAGGGAAACACTCTAATACTAGATTTATTCGGCACACACATGTGGACTTGGTCATCGCTGAAAGAACAATGAACCAAAGCCACTTCCTGTACCCCTGCTGCACCCCTGTGATGTGGCACTTAATTAACTATGTGGGCTGATCCATGTAGCTAATGGGTAAATCTAGCGGTGCATCAAGCAATATACACTATGTACAGGGACATTCCAAAGAGAAAACATAAGGTTAAACAAAAGAAAATAGGGGGGGGGGAATTTCCATCTTCCCAACACTCTGAAATAACTGAATGCCCTCTGTTATTGTGGAAGGCATGGCTTTGTCGTGAGCTGTCATAAGACCTTGCAGGACATCTTTCATATCGGTTGAAGAACAACCCCTAGTTGCAGGTGGTGTGGTCAACTCATCTTTCACTGCAAGAATATCTACAAGTGGCACTGGAATGCGATAATCACATGTATCTGTGCATGAAAAAAGTTGAAATGTTGGACAATCTTCTGTTTTCAGTCAGTAGAACCACTATGCAGTATTGCATTTATGCACTGCACAGTAGAAGCATTACTTTAAAAGGATGTCGAGGTGCTCAATGCACTAAATTAATGGAAATGTGCTGCATTCTGCAAAAAATTGGACAAAGTCATACCGTACAGTGTTGGTAAGAAATACATTAGGTCAGGTTTTCTGGGTAAAGCGACAACATTCGGGGATGCCCTTGTCCGGTGCTGGTTCCATTCTGTTCTTACATTATCCATCTCAGTCTGAATCATTTGGTTGAAACAAAACCTGAAACATTCACTGAAGTATAAAAAAATCAGTGACGAAAAAGCAACTGTTAGTTTGTTATGACGACATAGGCAATTCGATTTATGGAAAGCATTGTAACAGTGGTGAGCAAGTTTGATGTTGAATATCGGAAAGTACGCATCACTAAAAACCACAAGCGAAATAATTAACACCCTAGATATTCTTTCATTTATTACACATGACATATTTTTGTCAGACAACTGAGAATCAATAGCAATACTGCCTGGCTACTAAAAAAATTTGACGTTCATTTTCTCAATTGCATTTATTAACTTTTAGGGATAGGAAAATTTAGATGAAAATCTTACACTTGCAGCTGTGAGGTGCAATCTAAGATGCCATCAGAAGCCAACGCATGGAAGATGTCAACCCAAAAGTTTTCCATCATGGCCATCAATGTCCTCCAAAAGCATTCGATACGCTGTCAACAAAAACAATAGACTAATGTATGTAATCGTGATTATGATTCTCTTACCTGCCCTGGGTTTACCTTTACGCAGTATTTAATAGTTCTCCTCTCAGTTGTTCAAACACTTTGCGTATCATAAAATATCAAATGTGTCAGTGAGATTTTAACATCATAAACGATACAGGAAATGTTAAGTATTTGGCCTACCTGGTTATGTGGGGACATACTCTTGATAACGCAGTGGTCGTTCCCATTGTACTCTGAATGGAATGCTTCTTGGATGTCCTTAATCAAGACATTCTCGATACCCCTGTCCATCTGAACACACTGTGGAACACCCTCCAACAAGTACGTACATTGTTCTTTTCAACACTGTTCTTTGTAATTGATAATTTTAAAGGAGGCAAAGGATATGCAATAGTGTATAGTGTCACACTAAAACATTGCATAAAATGTTAATTAAATTATGTTTGGAGGTGGTTCCATTACATCAAAGATGAAATACTCACCTTCTATTTCTTGTAGAAAGTCAAGGAAGTATGAAGCCATGACTTGCGGGTCATTGTTTGTGTGTGCTACCCTGAGCCATAATATTCTCCTTGAAAAACTGCCGGAATCTAAATTGGAATTATGATTAGAGTGGTTTAACATGTAATAATCAGGAGGGTTTTTGGAAAACAGTCCATAATTTTTGGAACGTACATTGCATTGACAATACGCTTCAAATCAATGATCTACCTTATTGCATTACATTGAATGAAATGGTTGAGGCAGTTTAACAATAAACAATTTATACAATATATATGAAATAACACTTGATATGGTCATGTATTTTAACATAGAGAATGTTGAATGTGGACAATTTTGCGAAGATGGGTTGATTTTGTATTTTTTCTATTTCAAAACGAAACACAGATAATTGATTGCCATTTTTCTAGTGAGCATCAAGTCTCATCTCCTGGGGAAAAATGAACATCGAATTTAACAGCCCTACTGACTACTGGCAATGTTCTTACTCATCTATGGCTCCATGCAAAGCAAATCCATAAACCTTTAGCTTGTCATGCTGATCGACGTCGATTGCATAATTTGGGCCTTCATTGACATAGGATCGTCTCCTCAGTCTATGTCTTCCACGTAGTTCTACCCCTTCCGGGTCTAGCATGCCCTTCAAGGACGACGCTCCTACAAAAAAAAATTTCACACAATGTACGATGTCTAAAAACAAGAGTAAAAGACATTCAAATAAAAACTAGAGGAGAAACGTATTGAGTCAGCAATTGATAATGTTTTATTCTTGTTGGTCTAGCGTGACAACATTCTTCTTGCCATGGCCCGGCATCCCAGATTTTGGCCACTTCCTTGTAATTCAGCCTACGAAGAATAAGTCATTAAATGAATAAGAAAGCAATTATCTGGTTGCCCTATTTGTATTTCCAAATGCATCGGGAACTGAAACGTTTGTAGGATTAAATTAATTTACAGTTGATAACCAGCACAACTGTGTGCGTAACATCGTCTAGCATATGAAATACAGTACTGTAACATAAAAACATGTAACTCTACTTTTTAACACGGAAATTACTTTACATTAAACCTGCATACAACCCACTTCCGTGCAAAAAGTGGTAGAGGACATGCACCAGATTTTAAGATTGAGGGCATACAAGCAATGAAACCCAACAAAGGAACATTCTGTAGGTAAAATTGTTATATTTAATTAATTTGGTACAATAATAGCAGATCGAGAATGTATTTGACACAACCACTGTTTGAATGAAACTTGCATACAAAAGAAATTTTCGGCGAGATTTCAACCTAAAGTGTCTCTTCTCTCACTGCTACCATATTTCAAGACGTTCTGTTATCCTTACCCGCTAACTTCTTAGGAACCCTTCCAGGGTCAAGTCGTCAGGACTTCTTCTCCTAAGATTCAATTTGCGGAGAATTTGATGCAGCGTTCTCAGACTGACAGCACAAGAAATAAAAACATATTCATCTCTTTAAAACAATGCACAAGTGCTATCTCCACGCATGGGCCGGAGGATAGCGATACTAACCGTTCAAAGTCTAACTAGTACATGTACAGTACATGTACACAAATACTACAGCTGTAGGACTCAAGTCATCCATGTCAGCATATACAAATAAAGTAGGCCAATACCTGATGGTTATTCGATGTCGAAGGACCAAAACTGAAAGAACCTCATCGTAGCTGTAGCCTGCTTCAAAGTAATGACGGACCAATCGGTCTCGTTGTAGGATAGTGTCATTGCCGTCATTGTTGAAAGCATGTTGTGGTTGTAGCAACGTATACATTTCTACTCAGGTCGGTGGCTACAGCATGTAGGCTACAGGCTGTGTTATACCAGGCACGGTATGGGGCGGAGGGGTACCCCCCTTACCTGTCTAATCCGTATACACACTCCAGACTATTGTTACCTAACACATCCCCCCTAGAAGTCTGTAAAGAATTTCTGAGATTCCGATTAAACAATGACAAACACAAAGGCGGGGGTTCTCTCCGTCCAATAACTGGCTTCAAATGGGCTGTCTGGAGGTCAAAGTTAAAATTTTTCATTGAAAAATGGGACGCCCGTTGAAACATGCGACGCTGGTCGAAAATGCGACGGCAGGTCAAAAATGCGACAGTGGTCGAAAAATGCGCCGCCCAACGAAAAATGCGACACCCGTCCAAAAATGCGGCGCCGGCTGAAAAATGCGACGCCCGTCGAAAAATGCGAGGCCGGCTGAAAAATGCGACGCCGGATGGCACATATGGAACACCATAATAAACGTGCAAACTCGAAACATTATACATGTACATGTCATACGGTGATCAAATGCTCCATGAAATCAACCAAAAATTCAGCGCTATTTTAAGTTTTGTAATAGGCTTACAATATTACTTTAGAAACTTAGGATTTGGCACACTGTAGAGAATAAATGCAAACGACCAAATCTAGCCCTACCCCCAGAACTTTGGGGCCCGATGTCCGCTACGCATCAGCGAACCCCGCAGAACAAAATTTCTTTGACACCCTCCGTTTTCTCGGTTGTGTACCACAGTTTCGTGGATTCATTTCCCCCCTCAGTTCTGTGTGTGGTAGCTGACAATCTGTCAAGTTATGTGCGAAGAAAAACTCCAGCCCACATTATGCTGTTTGTCCAAAATCATGCAAGTAATTCCTGTTCTGTGTCCAGAATCACTTGGTTCATGTGTGTTCTTGTGAAGACGAGCTGCGACCAAATGGTTGATTACAGCTGCGATTGATACACAAGACATGGGAATTGGCTACAGCAGCTTTCCGTATGTGTATGTCATTCTTAGCCGTGACTGGACCGACTGCTTGAAATGGCAGTTGGCTGCGACACGCTGCAATCACAGGGCTTTCATTATTTATGCCGAGAGGTAGGAATGTCAAGCTAGACCTCAGTGCGACATGCTGCAATCACACGGACCAATCATAGGGCTTTTCATTATTTATGACGAGAGGTAAGAATGTCAAGCTAGACCTCGGTGCATGCACAACCAGTAGAGTACGGATCTCGCGCAAACCTTGGCCCCACTCTACCGTTGACACGAGGGACATGACACCCGGAGACCAGAAGTTGGTAGACTCCCTACATGCACCAGAACATACGCTGACTGAGATCAGAGCAACGGCTTTGTCTATGGTTGTCTCGCCCCCGTGTATTCCCAATTGACAGAGTATGGAGGGACAGTTCTTCATCTTGTGAACATACATGTATCATGAAATTATGTTCTTTTCAGATTGCAACTGATATAAAATGTATGATTCAGCATGGATTGGAGGAAGGAAACCTCCATGGATTCAGTGAAGCCTGAAAAACCGAAATTCGTCTTTGCCAAAAAAAAAAAGAAAAAGTAAAATAAATTTTTAAAGTTGGCTTCCGGAACAATTAAACTCTGATTCCACTGTTGTAAATGATTACCAAAATCATCACGATTGCTCTTTATTTGCTCTAAAGATGGGTAAATGTAGCTCTCTCTCTTGTTTAATCAACATGCAAAGAGAATTTCTAATGGTACCTGGACAGCCATGTACACCTGCATTCTCAGGGCAGGAGTGAGGTGAAGGTGCTCATACGTCAGTTTGTGTAAACATCGAAGACCGGGAGATGTACGCTCAAGCCCCACATCCCACTCGTACAGAGACAGCAGCTGCGTCCATGATATGTCTTGGCCTTTGAGCTGTGGAAAGTAAATGGACAAAATTTTTTCCAAGATATAAAAAATGACAAAGCATCTATCGCTTCGACAACATTAATTGTGCTCTGTGAATATACCAAGCCTGACTTAATTTTCATTTCATCAAACAAGACAGAAATATCTCGATGATTGTAGGGCATGTCCTGTGAGATGTGGTCTTCCATGATTCTCTTCACCAGATCGCTGTTGAAGCCTGAAGTTGGAGTTGCGAAGTGGCTGTATGGATGCAGCGTTGTAGGGTGAGGCAGCCGCAGGAACCCAGTATCCCTCATGAGATTATATGCAAATGAAGACTTGCTGTGTAGGGCGATACAAAAGCGTATCACAGCAGGATGCCATCGCATCGCCTTCCCTCTCTTGATTGATTCTTGGTGTTGTGCTCACAATAGAGATGCGGGGGATGAAGATTTTATCTCGTCGACAGTAGCTGTAGCACACTCCTGGAAGGCATTTTGCAGGGCAAAATCTTGGTTTGGAGTAAGCTGGACGCTCTTTGCTTCGATGATTTGTGAAATCTTGTTGCTAAGTATTCGGTTCCTCTTCGTGAGAGCTCGCTTTTGCGCCTGCAGGAGCGATGCTTTTGCTCGAAGCTGAACCGAGCTTAGTCTGTCATTCCGAGTTGTGCTGGGAGCATGACAGACAACAGAGACTTTGATCTCTTTACTCGACCTGAAAGTGAAGACAGATTTCCCCTGTGCAGTTTGCACAGATCACATCTACTCTGCGGCTTCGGTGTCAGAAGACTGCACATCTCATGGCGGATGGTTGGGAACGGATATGTCTGATAGACATCTCTTCCGGTTACGGTGACGGGAATCTGCCCATGCTCTCCCTCTTTTGACTTGACTAACTCGGGAAAATCTCCATTCCCCACACACACATTCAATGATTCCATACCATCTATTACTTCTCCTTAGAATGAGCGTTTCGGCCTTTCTGCACGGCCCCAAGCTGGCCACACAAGTGGCACAAATCTTGCAGGCAGTGTGAAGCCATCAGTTGTGCATGTACATATCTGTGCTGCCCAAATCGATCAAAACACATGAGAAAAAAAGACGTAGTTTTGCTTCACTGTCGCTCCAAAATTATTTCGGCGATGGAACGCCACGAACAAGCATGACAAGACCTACAGAAGACAAAGTGAAAAAAAAAAATTAAAGTAAAGCCATTCTCGCAATCTGAAAATTTGTGTCAAAAGCAACGGTACTTTGAAAAAACATTGGAGTGTTCAAACTACCATGCAGCATGCATGGAAGAATGGCCAAGGTAAGTTCATCCAGCTGACCTGTAATTTAAATTACAAATTTTTGGTTTATGTTTTCTATATTTATGTAAATTGTGACCAGATGCAATCGATAAACAATACATGTATGTCACAAAATCACAGCCACATTATTCATATTATTGTAGCTAGGCCTAATATAATATTTCTGTTTGTGTGCCGGGCCTTTCGCTTACTTGAAATGGGAATTTAGGACCAACTACATGTAAATGTGCTTAACGTTATACACATTTTATTACAATTACATGTAGGCCCTCTATGACTTTTTTTTGGATGCAGAGTCTGTAGCATCTCTTCATCAGGTTCATTTTTTTCCAGCTTCATAATGTATAAAGTTTTCCACTGGCTATTGTGGTGTTATCAAGTTGCATCTTCAATTTTCTTTCCATATTTCTCATGATTTTTTCATAACGAATTTTATTTCTTCCGGTGTATAGGCCTATAGTATACAAAAATTATTTTAGATCTGGTCAAGTTAATTTGGATTTCATTTTCAATTTAATACGTTAACAATCATGAAAAGTTGGATGATGACTGCTTCTCATTTGTCATCAATATAAATAACATCGGCGGAAACACAGGGAGCCTAAAAGAAAACAAAATCAAACAAAAAAATACAACTTTTCGATCGATATTTTGACCAATTGTCCAGTACTGGGCAGCCATGAAACTAACATTTGGTCTGCACTGACATTTTGTCAACATTTTAGTCCATTTCCCAACCGCAGGAAATGGTCGGAAAGCAGTTTTTTTAGAAAATTATTGTATGTATGAATTTTGTATTTCATAGGTTTCGTATCGAACAGGAAAAGGGCATATCTTACCGAATTTTTGTCTGATTTTCTTGAGCGAAACATCAACCTACGCGAAAATCTGCACTGATTCTCATGGGTTTCCTTGCGCTTGCACAGGGGCTATGGAGAACAACTGCACATGCCAAAAGCATATTTGTTTGCCCCATAATCTTTACTCCAGTGGAGAATTTCGCTGCAAGTTCTATAACCGTGTACGTTGGTTACCAGCGAACCGCGGCGACCATCATTGTGCACGAAGAGCAGTTGCGGTCGTAAAACTTGATGACTGCAGCGGGAGGCCTCCGCGCAAAGAATCCTGTAGCCTCAGAGCGAGTGCAGCTGTATGCATGTACAACTTGATTCAGGGATTCCTTCCAATGGGCATTATCCTTCTCTGGTAGGGTCCGGAGCATCCCCCAGAGTGTGTGGTTGAACCTCTGAACCTGTCCATTACCCTGGGGGTGGTAGGGAGTGGTTCTGGATGGGGTGATGCCACACAAGCTCTGCAACCGCTGGAACAGCTGATTTTCAAACTCTCAGCCCTGATCGTTGTGGAGTTTATGGGGAAAGCCGAATCTGAGCACGAAATCATTGAAGATTTTGTCTGCGATCGTCTTGCCAGATTTATTGGTGGTGGGGTAGGCCTGTGCAACGCGTGTAAAGTGTTCCATGACCACAAGAATGTACTCATAACCTTCAATGCTCCTCTCTAGGTGTACGAAGTCAATGGAGACGATCTCGAAGGGAGCTGTGGTCGTGATGCTTAGGAGTGGTTCCTGAGTCAGGCGGTTGGGCTTATGCTGCTTCAGACACTGACAGACATTAGTGACAAAATGCTCGATGTTCCGCTGCATGCGAGCCAGTAAAAACGGTCTCGTGCCAGGTGGATGACACGTTCAGCCCCTTGATGACCCATATCCTCATGCAACTCCTTGAGGACCTGTCGGTGGTATTTCTGGGGTAGGACAAGCTGATTCCGTCGGAGAACCCCGGCACTGTCAACCTTGAGCTTGTCTCGTTCTCTGAGGAGAATGTTGGCATCTGGGTGTTCCTTGCTTCTCTCTTGTGTAGTTGGTTGATGTCCTCTGTCAATGTACTTCATGGCTGGGCCAATGATGGCGTCTGCTTGAAACTCTGCCTTGATGGTGTAATGGCTCGGTGTCGTGTTGTCATCTAGACAAGATGTGGCGGTGGTAATAGCAGTGACCCATGGGCACTTCCCGACTCTCCCCATATGGCAGCCTCTACAGTGGCGGTAATATGGTTTCTGCTCACCTTCTCAGTACACTGGGTTATGGACTCATCGATGTGCAGGGGTGGTCGTGAAAGGACATCTGCATTAGCGTTGTTCCAGCCTGGCCTGTACTTTATTGTGAAATTGAAGTCGGCGAGTTCTGCACCCGACCGGTGTCCTCAGTGCAGCATTCAGCTTTGCAGATAATCTACTGTATACATTTATTCAAAGATATATCTGGAGATGCTAAAATATACATGTAAATTTCAATTATAAAAGTACAATTAATTAAAACATCCATGCATTGTTTTATGCACATAAGGTAACTTCAATGTGGGACGTGTGCAAATGATTTTATGAACAATGCACATTGCATTTGCACATGTACATGAACATTCCTCTTAAACCCCTACCCTAATTTTCTTACTTACAACCTGAATCCTGCAAAATCCTCCAATTCCAGAGTGTTAAAAGCTACAAGTATCCTAAATCCAGCAAATCCTCCAATCCCAGAGTGTTAAAAGCTAGGAATTTTCGGTAGTACACATTTTTCAAGACTAAAGGCTCATTGTTTGTATATGCAATAACTTTCAATGAAAGCATTGTACTGTTAGCCATCTTATCCACTATGTCTTTGGCGACTAAAGGAATTCAGTGGAGAAAATACATTTTTAGTTGTATCCTCAGCATGTCAGTTTTTCCCTTATGTCTGTTCATCTGGGCACTATTAAATAGAGGTGTGTATTTTAGGGGAATTTAGTAACAGGGTACCTGATTCACATAACAGGCGGGTACTTGTATTTATTCTGTAACCTTAAGGTGCTGTTGCTCTAGGATAGAAATTGATCTGAAATAACCAATGACATCTATTTCCCTGGGTCTGTCAATAATGTAAATATTGTCATCGCTTGTGTAGATAATGAGGAATATTATTGTCTGTAGACGGTGTCGTTAAACACAACATAACACACAACAGAGGGTTTAGGTTGCAGCCAAATATTAGGTAGACATGTAGACAGACACTCAAATCTGAAAAATATCACAGGCTTTCCCACAACCAACAGCAGATGTAAGAACAAAATTCTACATTCACTTATTACAGGCAAAGAAAAAAAAACCAATGATAACCAAATGCAACTGTTCTAGATTTAATGTAACTATACTTCAATTTATGTGTGGTACTGAGTAAAAATTTACAGCTCATTCCTTATTTATGGCATGAATGTATTAAATAAATGAATAGTGTTTACCTTGTAACATCTAAACTTATGTATGTAAACAAATCAAAAATAAAAATTACCATTTCAAACAACATTCTAAGGACATGAGTTAAGAAAACGGTCAATGGTGGAATTACAAGACAGGAAAGGCATTTTTACAATACACACAGAAAACACAAAATATGTTGATCGTAAAACAGAAGCAGTGATTAAGTCCAATTATATTGCAGATGTGCACAGTGAGGGTGAGTTTGACACACTGTGTTGTCGATAGCTCGGGCATTAGTCGCATCCATTCTATTGAGTTGGTCTTCAACGCACATTTAAAGCAGGAAAATTCATATTTATTTCCTTACTGCTGGTCAATCATACATTGTAAACATTAAATGTCTCCGCATGCTACCTGTATGTTTGCACAAATAGTAAAAGAACTAAGAACTAAATGAAACAAAATTTGACGTTTTGGGTACACCTCACTTAATAAAACCTGTTGAACAAAAAGTCCAATGGCAAACAAGAAGTTACAGACAACTAGGCTAGTATCCTGTTCAAACACATACATGGGTAATTCAAGAAATAACTCGGCTTCCAGTACATAAGCTTGAACAAGTCTTCCAGGAGAAAACAGAAATTTTCAATAAACTATTTTCAATATTGTAAATTAATGAATGATTGCATCCGCACAAGAGTTAATCAATAAAAAGCAGGAAAAAGTTAAATGGGAATAACATCTTTATCAATACATTTCCACAGTTAATCTCCATCTTCACTCCAGACGGTGTTTATGGAGAGGATACATTACTTTCAATAGTTCCTAGGCTATTGACCTCCCAGGCAGAATGAGATGCATTGATAAAAAAAAACACCAAGCCAAATCTAAACGTGTGTATAAATGTACATGGGAATACATGTATATGGAAAAAAAGTAATTACACAAAAATACAACACTTAATACTAAATTACAATTATACAACTCTACAGATATTTTGTTGGATAAACAACCTACTGTACATAAACTGTCAAGGTCAATAAAGCCTAATTGGCAGCTGGATCATTATTAAATTTGATGAGGCAATTTGAAGTACAGGTAATAAAATCACAATTAAATTTATCTCTACAATAAGAAAATATGTTAAAAATAAGTTAAGCTTATGTAGCTTGAGGGGAAAAAATCATCAGAGAACTTTGTGTGACCAAAAACATAGCATTATTATCGGAAAAGCTGGAAAAAAGGAGAAGAAATGGTGCCAAACCTCTTAAGCTTGTAAGACTGTACAGGGATGGAAGTACTACGATGCCACAATTTAAATGATGGCAGGACACTTCTAATCATAAATACAAATAAAATGCATTACCCAGTAGAGGCAGTGCATATGAACCATATACAAATTACAAGATCGAAAGAAGACGTTCACTATGCCAAATGAGTATACAGATCTGATACCATCAACAAGTACACATTAAAAAGTCCTGTTTCAACAAAAGGCTTCGGCTTTAAAAAAGGTGCATGTGTATTGTGATATTTTGGACTCCTTCCAAAGAGTTACCAGTACCACTAGAATCAAGCTACACTACACACTGTTGGCACTTCTACGTGCTGGAAGAATTGGATTGTAACCTTGTTCATAGCAGAACACTCAGGCTACACCACACACTGTTGGCACTTCTACATGCTGGAAGAATTGGATTGTAACGTTGTTCATAGCAGAACGCTGTGTATCTGTTTCCTCGAACAATCATACAATGATGTGTCTTTGGCATAGCACAAAGGATTTTCTTGAATCTACCCATCCAAACAAAAGTTTGTTCACAACTGATGGTGTTGTCTTTCTCCTCAAGATGATCATCAGGTTGGTACCTGCTTCTGTATTCAGAATCTGCATGGTGCCAAATGAACATACGATCAATGCACTTTCGTGGTTACAACAACATGTGCAACCAAGGCCACAAAAGTGGAAGCGGTTTACGGGCTACGACCATATTATCTAAATGGCACATATTATCATAGACGATAGCAATTTGGGTCCAGTCCTCTGGAGATATCTGCTGGTAAAATAAAGGGACCCAAGAAAGCAGGATAATAAACACCTGTGATGGAGACTCATACCTGCATGTTCTCATTTAGTGGAACCCCACACACATTCAAAAATGTGAATTTGTAAATGGACATGTCCCTGTGTTAAAATTGAAATATTTATAATGTGCTGGGAATCTCTGAGCGACTGGTCCAGAAGGCATCAAGTTCAGCATCAACAATTGCAATTTTAAATGTTTTTCATTCTGCAACAGGTTATTTCTGATGACCGCAATCAGTCGCAGATTTGTCAACAATATTGCCATCAGCTAATTGCTTTTTGATTCCTCTTCGCATTTGCAGAGAAATGTTTTCAAAAAGAGAAGCAAAGTCGGAGATTTCGTTCAATATATCGGCGACCGACAGCCCAACGTGCCAGCACCCTTGCAGATATCATCCCTGTACATAAAACAGTCATTGCATATACAACTACGTGAGCGCGGGATTTCCATTCAGCTTAGCGCGCAATGTCAGAGCCGTTTTAGAAACCAAAGTTTAACGCCCTCCAGCTTGTATAAATGAAGCCTGAATAATTATGGAAACAGGGTTTGGAAACTGATGGTGTGTAATGATAAGGTGCCAGTCACATGGTGTAATGGAATAGGACCTACATGTACTACTTCTAGGAAGAAGTCGACTGCTCAG